TCATAATTATATATATTTTTCTTATTATTTATATGTAAAATTGAAGTGTGTTTAAGAAATTTTGCGCAAACCCTAAATATTCTTTTATTTCATAATATTCTCTATTATATAGGATGCGGTCCAACAACCGTTACAAATGTTGCGCAGTGTTTCTCCCTCTTGTTCTATTGCTCAGATTCGAATGAAAAAAGAGAAAAAAGTAAAAACGCTACATAGCATTTGCAGCGCTGGACCGCTGGATCCGCTGGACCGTAACCAGAGTCTCGCAAGCTATATTGATAACAAAAAAATATATAAAAAACATTAAACGGGAAAAAATGGTCGACGTCATTTTGCAAATAACTACATAAACTTTAGAGATATTAAATTAAATAGGCGAATCAACGCGTGTATTTGCTAGGTACGTTATAATATACTGTGAACACTATAAGTATACATTTTATAAGCATTATTAAAGAGTAGCTTTAGATGAACTTTTATAAACATAAATTGTAAGAATATCGTTGGAGTCATTGGAATCACCAGCGTGCCGCTCGATCGTCAGATTTAAGCAACGCAGTCAGGATGGATGGATGACCGACATACCGTTTCGGATTCGAAATTATTGTTTCATAAAAAAAACTAATTCCTAATTTAGTTAGGGATATGATAATATATGAAACAAACCATCTATATCTAATTTCCTAAATGCGTTACAAGATAAAAAAACAAAATCACCATTGGAAAGAAAGCCAGGATTGTCTATCATTTTCGTTCTATCATTTTTTAAGCAAGGATAACTCCATTATTATTTTAAGCAAGGATAACTCCAAAGTATTTTTTTATGATAGAATATTAATAAGATAGTTTAGTGGTGTAAGGTTCTTATAAAATTAAATATAATTCAATGTGATAAGATTATATTCAGGCGAATTTTCTTCATGATAGGATATTATAAATCGCTTGTTATAAGAAAACATTCACGGCCAATGGACTTAGTTTCACGACCAGTAAACAACAACAAGAAAACATTCAATTCAGAAATTTGAAATGGATAATACGTTATATGAGTTGTAATCAGAAAGAAAAAGTTTAAAACATACAGCATGATACAAAGTGATTGCATAACGGAATATTTTATGTGAAGATGTATTATTAACAATTTTACATGAAACAGATGCAATAAAATGGAAAGAAACTTTACATTAAGTTTGATTAATTGTGATAATGAAAATTTTCTAAAAGTTCTAAGATTGATTATGATTATATTTGTTCTTATAGATTATTAAAGAGTAGCTTTAGATAAACTTTTGTGAAAGAATATTATAAGCAGTTTATCATAAAATAATTAAAAATATTTCATACAAATTTCTATATGTAGAAAAATATTAACTGACAAACTTTTATATTCAACATTATTGAAAGAAATGGTATTATAAATTATTATTGAATTATATTGGAAATCTATCTAATGCGACATAGATAAAAGATTCGTTATATTAATCAACATAGAAATTCTATCTTATGGAATGAGATCCATTCATAATCTATCTATCATTTTAAGCAGGGTTGCTGAGAAGTTAAACATCGATAGATTGATTTCGACACTTAAAAAGATTGG